AATCAATATATTAAATAAGTTTTAAGAATAATGTGATAAATGAAAAAATAGGATATATAGCGAAAAGTGAAAAATTAGAGTTGGTGAAGAAACTGTATCAAATATTACGAATTCCATTAATATAAGAACTTTATGGATTAAGAATGACGTAAAATATGGAGTATATGATTTAAAAAAAAATGAGTGATATCTAAACTATACGTATTATGTCCTAATATAAATAAATCAACAACAAAGAGAAAAGAAGATGTGCACTTATTAACACTAAAAGATATATTAATAGAAAGAAATTAAAAATGCTAAAAAATAGGAATGGTCAAACCGTTAGAAAGCACATGAACGAAAGGAAACTAACAAATTGCCTATACTACCCATTACGCTATTATTTAACAATAATTTAGAAAAGATCAATCTAATGGTTGTGATGCATTCTTTTTTCTCTCCTAAGATGGTTTTCTCACTTGAACCTAAATCTATATATATATATATATAGAAAAGATCCTGTCCAGACGTCCGGACAGGAGCCGCCGTCCGGCCGGCGGCGTTTGGCCGCCTTCCCGGTGGAATTTTTTGATGAAATTTTTATGGCATGTTCTCCATCAAGTCTAGTTTATCCACAAAAAAATTCAGCCAAAAACTCAATCGGGAAGGTCGTCAAATGATTTTTGCAAGTTAACTGGTCCGGAATATGTATTTTCCGGACCAGTTAACTTGCAAAAATCATTTGACGACCTTCCCGATTGAGTTTTTGGCTGAATTTTTTTGTGGATAAACTAGACTTGATGGAGAACATGCCATAAAAATTTCATCAAAAAATTCCACCGGGAAGGCGGCCAAACGCCGCCGGCCGGACGGCGGCTCCTGTCCGGACGTCTGGACAGGAGCATTCCTCTATATATATATATATATATATATATATATATATATATATATATAGATTTAGGTTCATGTGAGAACTTAATCTTAGGAGAGTAAAAAAGAACCATTTCTCACCATTAGATGTAATCTCTAACAACATTGCACGTAGGGATGGCATTGGAATTTCACTTTCAATTGCATTAGATGGTAAGCTACTAACGTTGCTTTCCTTTTTTATTTCAGGATTGGATGTACCATTATTGAAATAAAATTAATGAAACTCTCTTATATATAACGTGTTTAAATTGCCCCTTAAATCAATATTTGAGTATTTTCTAATTATATCACATTTGGGCGTAAAAATAATCATACCAGATCTTCATTTTATTTTTAATTATATTACTATTTTGATTAATTTTCTCAGTAAAGTTTATTGCAACATAGAGTATGATGAGTGCATTTCATTTTCTACTGAAATTCGTGCACTTATGACAATCCTTCATTGCACACTTGTGCATACAATTTATGCTTTTGTTCCAATTCATTGCACACTTTTCATATACTCCCTCACTCCCATTTTGTAAGATATTTTTCCTATTCACTTGGTAAATACAAATCACTCTTAATCTCTCACTTTATATATCAATTTTTTTTATCAAATTTAATTCTGGTTTTTGCAACTTTGTAAAACTTTGAATTTAGATTCTGAATATGTAATTCTATTTTTCTAAAAGTAATTTGAGTGCGAATAGAGATTTGTTTGCTTTATCGTCTGTAAAATTTCGTAAACCGTAAAGTGCATTACAACTCGGGACGGAGGGAGTACAATTTATTCCATCTTTTCATTCTTAGTTTTAGCATTTTCAATTTATGCTTTTGTATTTGTGTGAATGCATCTTTCACGTTTTTGTGATAGTTGTGCACAAATATATGAGATTAATTGCTAAATAAACACATCCATAAAAAAAATGCATTTTAATGAGATAAAACGTGCATGTAAATACCATTAAAAAATGTGCATGTAAATGAGATAAAGGTGCATGTTAATGAGAATTGAATAAAAAGTGTGATATACAACAGTGCATCAAATTGTTCATATTTTTGTATGTATTTTCTTTTGTTCGCAAAATGTACACGTTAATGTTACTTGATGCACTTATATGTTCATACACATTGCACTTCTACGTTGTTCATGTGTTGTGCGCTATTAATACTTGAAAGTGCAATGTTTATATAAACACAATATGGAACATGTTCCATTAATTTTAAATGTAGAAAATATATAAACTATAACGTGCAAAACTCTTCGAGAATGAGTGCATGTTCTTAAAACTTGAAACACATTCATTTTTTGTAACGATCTATTTATTTATATGTTTGCATATTTATTTATTATACATGATGGATTGATTTTGCACATCAATAGACATGCTTTGCACTTTTTAAAATTTTAAAACAAAAGAAAATTCTATCACTTGTATTCCTGAAAATTTTCTGATTTTAAAATGAAATACAAGGGAGCATTTAATGAGCAAATTCGTAGGATGCTAAATTTTGAAAAAAAAAGTAATTAAAAAACTAATTAAAGTAACTCCTAATCATTAAATAGAAACCGATTTGCAAAATAATAGGAAAGTTTCCAAATGCGCATAACGTGGAAAAAGATTTTGACCCTGTGGTTAGACATATATGCCCCTACAATCAATTTAATATTAAATTTTCCTTTGAAATCAATTTGAAGTGGCCGATAATTGAGGCATTAAGTGCTGGTCATCTTGCTTTTGTGTACATTCGATCAAAAATATTAAGGGTTAGATTTCATTCTTTTTCCCTCTCCTGGAAGCGTGTTCTCACAGGAACCCACCCCTATATATATATATATATATATATATATATATATATATATATATATATATATATATATATATATATATATATATATATATATATGCTATCGTGGCTACAGAACAATGAAGATAATGCCACGATTGCAACCGGCCATTGTAATAACAAGAATGAGAACCTCCCTACTTTTGAGAAAATATATATATATATCAAATGTGTGTATATATATATATACACATATATATAGATAAGAGATCACATACTAACCATGCTTAAAATACTAACTTACTAACTCAATAATATGCAACACATTGAACTTCAATATGCAGTACAAATAATGTAAAGATGCACACTGTGAATTTCAATATGCAATAAAAACAATATGCAAAACTTTGAACTTTAATATGCAGTATAAATAATATGCAACACTTTGAACTTCAATATGCAGTACAAATAATGTAAAGATGCACCGTTTTTGATAGTTTGTAGGTTAGCATGTGAGGAATGGTTAGTATGTGATCTCACCCCTATATATATATATATATATATATATATATATATATATATATATCAAAAACTTAGTTGACTGCCTTTACAACTGAATTTTATCTGAAATTTAGTATGGATAAACTAGACTTGATGAAGAACATGCTAAAAAAATTTCATAAAAAAATTTCACCGGGAAGGTCCTGAAATGCCCTCGATCGGACGGCAGTTCCCGTCAGGCCAGCTGGACAGAGAGAGAGAGAAGTACTCTTATATGAAAGAGAGAGAGAGAGAGAGAGAGAGAGAGAGAGAGAGGTTCAAATAAAAAGTACTCCTTATATGAAAAATGAAAAGTAATCTTAGCCGTTAAAATGAGTTAATGAATGGATCAGATCAATTTTAAAGTGGAAAATTCGGCGCCAATGGTGTAAATATTAGAAAATTTGGTGCCAATAGTGTAAATAATAAATGTGCATGACTACGGAGAAAAAGTGCATTTGAGTAACACAAGTGCAGTGCATCCCTTCCCGGAAAAAAAAATAACCAGTATATAAATCGTTTGTGTTATTTTTTTAGGAGCTGAATGTGCACTCTTACATATGACATATGCACTTTTACTATTGTATATCACACAGTTTGGTTTACCGTGAGTTTTGATCTATTCTATCCATTTTAAGTAATCAACGGCTTAAATCACTTCCCACTTTTCATGGAAAGACCTCTTTGTATTAGAACTCACCTCTCTATATATATATATAGATATATAGATATATACTCGTATTAAATATAAAATTGTACATTTTAAATATGTACGAAGTATTCAAGATAAGTATTTTATGCATTAATAATGAATATGAGGCCAAAAAGTTACTGTAGTCGAGTGGAGGTTGCATTCCATGCATCTAATGGGTTAGTTGACAGCAGGACCAGTGTTCGATTGCACCTTGGTGAAGTATAATTTATTTTTTTGTTTTGCTTTTGTCTTTTTTAATCTATAAATTAATTTAAAATGACTTTACTTCAAATTTTGGCTTGTTTGAACTACTTCAATATAATTACAATTTAATTTTGCGCATATAATATGTGAAGTTTAATATTTACATCTTACGTTTAATATATATATTTATTTTGAATATACTTGTAAATTCGCAACTTAAGTTAATTCTAAAAACATAGGATAGTATTTGATTCATTCCTTATTTGATTCTTATTGTTAACCTAAAGTTGAAAAAATTACAAACTATGTGATAAAAATTTATTTTTAGTAAAGTAAAATTTTGTCTGCCGTGAAATTTTAAATCAAGATATTGTAATATTTTGTCCCACGAATATTTGTTATTTATAATTGAATGTATACTATTTTCCTTAATGTGATCATTGTTTATGAGATGTGTGAGATAATTAATGTGAGTTTACCCCATCGAAGAAATTTCTGAATATGCCACTGACCACTACTGTTATATTCGTCCTTACACTCAGCTCTATTTTGTTGAGCATAGTTCACTGTGAATTCATATCAGAAAGGTTGACTACTTGAAGTGCTTGAAGTGATATAATGCACTAATCCTTGCATTCAGCATAAAGAAAGAGTTGGCGTAGATGGAAAGAAAAAACAAAAAATTAACAGGGGTCTCTTTTGGTTTAGGAAAAAGTAAAGAATAAACTCTTCTTTTCTAATCCAAGCAAAGGACGATTCTCCTCTTTAACGATCACGGTGGATAGGAATGGAGTGCGATTGTGATATTCGTTTTTGTAAATCATGAATAATGGCTGCTTTATAAACAACACTTACATATAGGGTATGTTTGGCACGACTAGCTGAAAAGATATTTTTATGAGCTTTTTAGTAACTGTTAGCTTTTAGTGACTGAAAAGATCTTAAGAAGAAAAGGTGGTAGCTGTTTGGTAAAAAGTCGGCTGTTTGATTTAGTCATGTTTGGTATACAACCTGTTAGGACAAATTAATACTAAAAGTCATGGTCTTTTCTCAGATGCTACTCCCCGTAGCATCTCAAAAAAGATCTTTTATTTTTCGAGAAGCTCTTAAAATTTGTCATGCCAAACACACAACTAAAAGCTTTTAAAGACTTTTTAAACAATACAAAAACTAGAAGGCATTGACTTATGTGTGCCAAACATGCACATAACATACTCCATATCTGGAATCATCTCTCTCTGACAATTGTGCATTAAGAATGTTAGAATGGAACCTGACAATGTGGAGTATCGAGAGTTAACCCTTGTTGATTCCCACTGCACAGAAAATCCATCCGAAATTTTGATCACGCTCTCTTTTCCTTCCAATGTGCAAAATAAGATTGGTAATTTCTCTTTTAAAAGGAATAAAACATATGTTTTGTACATACTTATTTTCATTCTACATTATGTATGTAATTAAGGCAGGCAACTCATACTTATTGATAATGTGGTTCCTCATTTAACTCTCTAGATATGTCCGAAGTGTGCAAGATTGAAGCAAATTTGTCAAATGGTTGTGTAACCATAATAGGAGTCGATAAAACCAACGGTACCTTCTTTGCAAAAGCTTTCAAGGTATCACAAAACTTCAAAAGTCGCGGCTATACAGTTGGAACGCAAATAGGAAACAAGATTCTTATAACCATATACAAAATACCTGTAGAAGCAAAAGAGGACGAGCAAAGGAAAGGCTACACATACAATCCAACCCAATTAGCGCCATCGGGCGAAAAAAAATCTCTATCAGAAAGCATACAAACATACCGCAACACCAGTTGTTCGAGTGAAGAAAATAAATGCACGAGCGGCAAAAGAGACGGTGTTGCAGAGAAGATCAAAAGGAACATAAGCAGGGAGGTTCTCATTCTTGTTATTACAATGGTTGCAATCGTGGCATTATCTTCATTGCTCTTTAGCCATGTGAATCAGCCTATCGTTTAAGTTGCACGCTCTTTTCCTCGGCCATATATCACGTACCCAATCACATATATATATGCAATTACTTGTACGAGGCCGAGTGACACCGTTTAATCACTACATGATAGTGTGTAAATTGTAATCTACTGTCTTATTTACTCTTGTCAATAAATGTATAAATAAATAAAACAAATTTCAGAAATGGTACGTGGTTGTTCTCAAAACTTTTCTTTCTACATCTAATATAACAAATTCTCCGTATGAGTAAAACACACTATTGGAATCACCTGGTGCTAAGAAAAAAACTTTAAGTTATATACTACTATACTAGTAATAAAATTGGGAAAATATTCATAAGGTGGAAATTCGTGGCACATGTATTTCTGTTTCCTTTATCTTCCTTTCAATTAATATACGTAGTAGTTTTTTTTTGTTACTACGTAATGATTCTACTTCGCTGAACTAAGCCTGAACTCCGAAGAAACCAACATAAATCCTTAGAGAAGTATATTTGAGTTCCTACTCTCATATTTGAGTTTTTTTAGATGATCTATACACCACCGCCGATAAAAAATCGCTTTAAACTTATTGATTGGCGTGTCCTAAACTTTTTAATCTATTATTTAATGATGAGTTGAGAAATTTGTTAATTTCTAGAGATCATATTTAAACAGATCCGACTCAAATAACAATAAAATAACTGGTCTTGAATTGGTATACACGCTCAAATTGTAAGTGTACACAAAACTACTTTTTTGCATTTTTTAAGTGTTCACGGTCAAAATAGGGGTCGTGTACGCCAAACATGTAAAAATGATGTGTACAATTGTACAAATGGAAATATCCACCATAAAATACGCATACTATCATAAAAGAACAGATTTAAATCAATCAGATTAAAGTATTAAACTAGACTTTATAATAACATCAATATTTTGACTGTCAATTTCCGTGGCGTTTTGCACCAAGAATGTGCAGGTGCAAGTTTCAATCAAATCTAGGATATGCTCAAAGTCCAGGCAGGGCAGACTAAGCTAGTCTATAATGACAACATTGGTGAAGATAGAAATAAAAAGTATAGTAGGATGCTTTGTTTCATAAATGGTCTTCACAAAAGGGCAAAAGTGTCCTTTACAAATACTTTCCCAGTCACATAAAAACATATGCTCTCTCCCAATCCTCATTACACTAACATCGCTTTAACTTGATGCCCTCTTCTTTAAAAAAAAACTTGACGCCCAAAAATTTGTAGCTTCTACACTTCACAAAAGTATAAATCCCAAAAATTTATGCAGTGTTTTATAGAAAACCAGTACATCAAATACGCTTACGTCCTTTGGTGTATTTATTTCACCAAATTACAGACGGACTTGGTCGCCATTTGATTGAGTAATAGTTTAAGGGGTTTTGACCTCAATTTTATAATATTAATTTTAAAAGAAGACTAATCATGTTATTTTTACCTTTTATATTAATACTATGCTTTTATTATTAAAATCAGATGTATTCAGTTCTAGTCTAGTTATATAGGAGGTGGCACCACCACCTATGATAGGGGGGGAGACAAGGACGGGTTGGAGGGGCTCGACTCTCGATCAAGAAAAAATTCTTAGCTAAATACATGTATAGATATTTTTAATTTATAAAAAATGTGTTGATGTTTTAAACTTTAACCTCCGCAAAATGAAAATTTCAAGTCCCAAACCCCTAACAATATATTTCTGGCTCTGCCACTAACGTATGATATACGCTAACCCAGTAATATCAATGGCCAAATTAGAGCTCCTGCTGATTTGCACCCCTCAACTCGATCATCTGTCCAATTAGATTACAATTAAATCTTAATTACTCATATAGTCATATACAGTAACTTGTCAACTTTAAACTTGTCAACTTTACCAATTAATAAGTCAATGCAAAATTGTGCATGAGATTTAGAGTCCGTTTGGTCAATCTATTTTTCGGCTTATCGCTTTATCAGCCAACTTTTCATCAAACATGTACTTTTGATTTCGTGCGCTGAGTCGTGTAATAATCAAAATAAGTAAGGTTGAATTTATTGAAGATGACTATTTCAACTACGAACTTTTTAATATAATTATTTCTCCAGTTCTATTCTTCCTAACACTCACTCTATTTTGTTGAGCCAGAAAGGTTGACTACTTGAAGTGAAAAAGTGCAATGATATAATCCTTGCATTCAGCGTAAAGAAAGAGTTGGGGTAGATAGAAAGCAAAAACAAAAAATTAACCTGGGGGAGGGGTCTCTCTTTTGGTTTAGGAAAAAGGAAAGCATAAACTCAATTCGGGACAAAAAAAAATCCAACCCGAATAACGTCATCGGCTGAAAACCGAAAACCAATACGGGACAAAAAAAAATCTCCACCAGAAAGCATACAAAGATACAATGACACCACTTGTTCGAAGGGATGGTGTTGCAGAGATGATCAAAGGGAGCATAAGCCCAGAGTTTCTCATTCTTGTTATTACAATGGTTGCTATCATTAAGGTTTTAAATAGCCGTAGCGGCAGCGGTAGCGGTAGCGGTAGCGGCCTGTAGCCGACTGTAGCGATTGCAGCGGCGTGAAATATTTTCAATTGCGCAAAACATATATTTAATGAGTGTTGAAGTTAATACAAACATTGTGAATATTTGTTTGAACACTTATAACATTAAGAGTTCATTTACACAACAAAGACACATTTACACATCAATCCGTTCATGACGTACTGCCGGAAATATCAATAGCGGGCTGTAGCGGGCTATAGCGGGCGGCGTAGCGGGTTTTTCCCGTGATTTGGAATTCACAGCGGAATAGCGGGCCGTAGCGGTAGTGGCCCCTACCGCGACCGCTATATAGCGGCCGCTATAACGGTAGCGGGCCGCTATTTAAAACCCTGGACTTGCTATTGTGGCTTTATCTTCATTGTTCTTTAGCCATGTGAATCAGCCTATTGTTTAATTTGTGCAATCTTTTCCTCGGCCATATATCACGTATCCAATGCGGGTTTTCGTACTTTCAGTAATCCCCACCCTCACATTGATGTAATTAGTTGTACGTGGCCGAGTAAGACAGTTCAATCACTACAAGATAGTGTGTAAATTGTAACTACTCTTTTATTTACTCTGACCAATTAATGTTACGTTGCAAGTAAAACCAATTCCAGAAATGGTACATGGATGTTGTTCAAACTTTTCTTTCTACAGCTAATGGATAACATATACTCATATGAAGAAAACTCATGGTTTCTCGAAGCCCTTGACAAGCCTGAACCTCATGTCCTTCTGAATGCATGGATCAACTACTTGTTCACACTCCGCATTTGATCTTCTAAAACGTACGTTTGATACAATGATACCACATTCCCATTCCTCTTAAATTGCGGACCCAAGACTTTTATGAAAATGAATAGGAATGAACACGAATCCGGTTGGGAGGGACGGCGTTAGACCGGCATGGGTCCGAGCTGGGCAAAGTTAGACCGGCACAGATCCGAGTTGGGCGGACTCATTTTGAATTCATCGATTTAGGTGTCATTTGTTTTTATCGTTTATTAATGTGAAAATGGAAGAATTTCGATCAAAGTATGTTGTGTAAATTTGTTCAATCGAGTATTAGTTCGATCATATATATGTGTAGCATTATCCATTGAGTTAATTTTTATTAGTGAGAAATATGGTAGCAATTGTTTTTTGGGATTAAAATGTGTCATGTAAATTGTTTAATCAATACAATATGACATATGGTCGAAGTAGGTAGAAATTCAAGCATAACTTAATTAGTGTAGGATTCTCCATTCAAACACATTTTTATGTAAATAGAAATGCAATTTAAAGAGCGCAGCTACAACTTCCATAAGGAAAACATATTTCAAACCCTTAAAGGTGCATTTTTTTATTATAAAAATCTGTCATATAAATATGTTCAATCAATGTGACACGTGGTAGAAATGAGATCATAGAACTTGGAGTAGGATTACGAAGTAGTTTAATTTTTTTACTACGATGATGGTGGTGCTCTATTTCAACAAAAATGCCCTAAATATGAGTAAAAAATAATGTTGACTTTTCAAAATAGATACTTGTATAATTTTTTTCAATTCATTATTACCATACTTGAAAAAACATGTCAATTATATTATTCATCGTGGGATGATGCCAAATTATGTCTATATGATTTCAAGATGATAATAATCTACTCATATTTAAGAAAAAAGTGGTACTTGTTGTAGGGAAATTGTTCGTAGAGTTTCATTAGCGAATGCCCCTATAAATAGGGATAGAGTAGGGTTTACAAGTACGGGCCAATAGGCCCATATTACATAGTTTACATAGAAATGACCCTAATACATATTCTATATAAACGATAGCACACTACATAGAATTTCCTTCAACACTCCCCCTTGTGCTGAGTTGAATAGAATTTGGTATCTGTCTTGTTGTCTCGACAAAACCTCTGTCAAGTAATAAAAACCCTGTGGGAAAAAATAACCTTGACTGGAAAAAGGAGTATAGCATCACGATAGACTTCTTCCATTAAGTCTGTGTTTATTTGATCCTTGCTTTGATCAATAAAGTTTATATGTATTGTTACCTCATTAAAAACCTTACCAAGTAACAAAACCCGGTGGGAAAAATAAAACTTGGTTGAAGGAAAAGAGTGTAACATAATGTAGATGGGGAACTCCCCCTCATGTCTACACATATCCTTAATAATTACATTAATCAAGGATGTTTGGAAAGTCTATGCATTCCAATACTTTTTACGTTAATTACCTTAGCGAAGGCACACAAAATAGAGGAATATATTTCCTTCAATTCTCCCCCTGTGTGCCAAGTATAAGGTGATAAGAGTAAGAAAATTTTAACTTGCTAGAACCTTGCCAATAAACAAAACCCAATGGGAAAAATAAACATTGGTCAAGGGAAAAATGTGATGCACTAATAGCACACGTCAATTACTTTTGACTGCGCTATATTAATTATGTTCTTCCTTCAACATAATTTTACGTTTGCAAAATTAAAATGTGGGATGGTGCATGTTGTGTTGCCTCAAAAAAAAAAAAAACCTTACCAAGTAACAAAACCCGATGGGAAAAAAATAAACATTGGTCGAAGGAAAAAGAGTACAACGCACCATTATAATTGATGATAAATAAGTGTGTAAGTACTCCCCCTGAGTGAAACACATCAATAAGAATCTAAC